ATATATTGAGCAGGAAAAAAGAAAAAGAAGCTATGCCAGGGAAGTTATTTTTCTTTCTTTCATTTTTCCTTCTCTGAAATAAACCACAACGAATTCAGAAAAAAATCCAAATAGTTTTAAGTTCTAAATAGTTCACATAAATTTAAAGGATTTTGATTCACAATTAACTACATGTTAAAACATTGTGAATGATGATAAAGTGCAGTAATTTATGTTGTGTTTTGGCTTCCTAAAACACATGTTAAACACAATTCAAAATTATTTGTTGATACTTTTACCAAAATGTTACAATAATAAATATATATTTTCTTTCTCCAATTCTGATTATAACTAAAAGAAGATTTCTCTTTGTGAAAAGTGGCGAGGCAGAAGGATTAGACACAAATCCCTTCTTTATCTAGTGAAATCTTTAAGAGCTATAAAGCAATAAATCAGCTTAAGACACACTTTGAAAATGTGGCTCAGACATTCACAATTGTAAAGCAAAAAGTGCTGAAGTGTAACTGTATTTTCTCTAAAGTTTGTTTTTTCCCCAAAACAATATGTTATTGTGACCGTTTGATTCACTCAGCATCTCCTAGGTTTTCATAATCTGAAGATCTGTGGACTTTCCTCTTTGACGTTCTCTGATCGAGAACGCAGACCACCTAAGCGCCTCCGATGCCAGGCGTAGCTGGAGCCCGCCCTTCCCGCGCCCTTAGTGCCTCCCTTTTCCTTTCTTCCAGGAAAGCGAGGAGACGCTGCATCAAAGACTCCACTCCGCTATCGTCTGAGTGCCTTGCAGAAAGTTTAAATTCCACTCTGGTACCCACGATAGTTTCTTTCATTCCATATCATGCTCAAAATAACTCCTGCTCCCCTAACTAGTAGTAATTTTGTAATGAAATACTAATTTTATGCAAAAGCCACATTAATAATTTAACCAATTTTTTAACTTTATAAAAGTTGTTTTGTTCTTTTAATAAACATGGACTTGTTTTCCATACTAAGTAGATGGCTCGGTGAGATGAAAGGAAAAGTGACAAAACACCCAACTTGAAGATGCGTTAGTAGTCACAGGAACAGTTAAATTGAAGTGAATTAAGCAGTATTTTTAAGTGGGATGCTCAATTATGATAGAAAGCGTTCCTTTCCATCTTTAAAAGAGTTCCTTAGCATCTGTTGCATGAGGTTGAGAGGGGAGAGACCTGTGAGCCTGCGGCATGTGCTCTTGGCTTGAGGGGTTTCAGGGGAGAGAGTACAGAATGGGATGAGCAGGGAGAGGCAGAGACAGGGGCCCTGGGAGAGAGAACCCTTAGGAAGCTAGACGGAATAATTCACACTACGATGAGAGACCTGGTAAAGGATGATTTAGGTGAACCAGTAAACTAATACTCCTGAGGTGCCTAAAAAGGGAACGTTCATTGGGAAAATAGAAGCTACCGCCCAGCGGACTAGAAACCAATTCCATCTCTAACATGAGTAAAGGTATATGTCTGAACTGGGGGAGGAATTTAGGTATTCCTAAATTGTCAGAGCTAGCGCCTATTCTTGAATTATATCAGCTTCTGAGATGAAGGCACAGTTAAGCTTTCAGCAACCATGTCACTACTCAGAGGATGGAAAACTGATGCAGGGAAGGGGGTAGGTGGCTCCTTACACTTAGAGCCTTCATATTGGTTCTGATGATTTGGTATTAAATTCAGCATGAATTTTAGTGCCAGTGTACTCAAAAAGCGAGATTTAAAAAAAAAATTAAGCAAAAAAAAGGAGATATAGCTGAGCAGAGTAGCACCTGCCTAATAAGTTCAAGGTCTTGAGTTTGATTCCTGGTTCAAAAAGAAGAAAACTAGTTTATTGGAGATTAAATGGAAATTTTTGTACTGTGAAAGGTACAGCTTTGTGTGCATGTATCTGAACTCTAATGAATAAAACAGAAGGAAAGATACTTTTTGTTTCTCATCATTCATAAGAACTGCTTGCCATCTTCATACACTGAAATAATCTAGAATTTTTTGTAGGGATGGAAAGATATGCTGGCGAGCGAAGAAGGATTCTTTTGTAAATAAGTGTCTGAGCTATCCACATGTGGACTGAGACAAGTTCTGCTGTATAAATGTCAGACACTGAGCCTATTTCTTCTTATGTTTTTCAGTAAAGGAAGAACAAAAACCAGCCCAAACCAGTCCACGCTGTGGATTTCCAAGAGCACCAGAAAGGAAAGTGGCATGGAAGTATAACAACCCATTGACTTAGCTCCAAAAAAGAAAGTAGTCTTATAATTCTGGATCCGTGTAAGTAAGGAATGGCATCAGAACATTAGCTTGGAATGGCTTGAAATCTCAAAGGATCTGCAACGTGAACCTTAAGCTCCCCCTTGAGGCAATTATTATAATAATTTTTATATGTTTATTATTTCATTTCCAAAAGTATGCTGTGCTAGTCATGGAGTGAGACTTGCTTATTTTGCTAAAGGATGGGCCTAAATTTCAAGAAAATGGAATGGACCACGCAGATGGAGTATGTGGGTTGAAAGCAGCTATTTTGATTTCTTTCACCTTTCGTAACTTGTAATTTAGGTAATGCGATATAAATTGTATTGAAATTTTCAGTCTATAGGAACATTTTACCTTTGCATAAGTACTTGATAAAAGTGGACTCTTCTGATATTTATTTTTATGACATTCCATTTTTCAATACATGCTGCTTTGATTGAAGAAATACATCACTGTTTTCAACTGAATTCACATACACACAAGTATATTATCATGAGAAAATTTCTTTCTAGAAATGGCTCATCTCTGTTCAGTTTCTCTACTTTTTGTTGGACAATGTTTAGGAAATCTCTTCAGAAATAAGAAGCTGTCTCTTTAACTGTGGTGTAAATCTCCAGAAGCATCTTCCTTAGAGGCAAGAATTGTCTAAGTTCAATTGTGCAAGACATGTGCCTTACAATTATTTTTAGTTTAAAACTCAACAGATTTTGTAATGAAATAACTTTACTAATAGCTGTATAATAGTAATGCAGTAAATATTGAATAAAAGTGTGGCATAGACAATATTAATCATATGTCTTCACATGTTGCCTATATAACTACAAGTCACTCTCTGAGGGTCCTAGAATCAACCTGGTCCCTCCTTTACTGCCCAAACAATGGTAGGTTTGGGATTGGGATGGACATTAGAGGCAGAGAGTTTCAGAAGTTGTCTAAGGTTTTTCTCACTGAATCTAGCCTCTATTATTACATACAAAGTCTTATAATTGGGACCAGGTGAATGACTGCCACCAGAGTGGAGCTAAGCACAGTACACTGACATTTCAAGATGGAAAAAAATAAACACCCCCACGATAGATGAATTAGTGTGACATGTGTTGGAAGTTGTCAGGGATTTAGTATTTCACTGGTGAGGATTTGTTCATGGTTGTAAGCAGTAGCTCCCTTCTGTCTTATCTTCTTCTAGTTTCTTCGATGCTTGTGACTTGTTCTTCTCAAGTTGTCACTATTTGGTCTTCAAATATCGCTGTGCTCCTTTTAACCAAATAAAGAGTTCTTGTTTCTGAAGAATGATTATTGGTGGTGTCAAAATCTCTTACGTCAACAATGTTCAGGCATGTTTCATCACTTCACGGAGATTCCATTTAAATGCGATAAAAATGAAGTTGCAGAGAAACAAACTTTTCTTTGACCATCATTTTTAGTTGGGGAATAAAGCATTTTCCTGGGATAAAGTTGCTAGAGTGCTTTGACAAAACTAAGAGGCACAATAGAAAATAGTGGGCATAGCCCCCTTTCAGACTGAGAGAATGGGCAGCTGGATTGTAAGCCTAGGTCTACTTTCAACTACAACCTGTCTTCCCAACACTCTGGTTGGAATGGTAGGCAAACCGCTATGATCCACAGCCCTCCTTGCAGTCTGCCACCATGTTCCCTCACTTAGTCAGGGCTTGATAGGGAAACTTGACTTTCCTTCTGGTCTATGCCACCCAGTTTTATAACAGCTGCAAGAAAGTAGCGACAACACAATGGAGAAAGGATTGGGCTTCGCCTTTTGTCTTTATTGACAGCTTGATAATGCCTGTGGAATCAAGGACTGAGTTAGTAAGGGTGGAAAACTAAAAGTTAGCAAGGATGGGAAAATAAACTTCCTCCTTACTGGAAGGTGGTGGCAGTGATACTTTCCTGGGTGTTTCTTAAAATTTTACCTGAGCTTATAAAATGAAAGTGAGTACAAAATATGTGTTTTGTTTGTGTTTTCAGAAAACATTTCTAATGTATGTTGGAAATGTAGCTAAAATATAGTGAAATCTCTGAGTATTGGACACAAACAACATACTCTATCACCATTCTTCTTTTTACAATGGGTTACTAGAAAGTTCTTAACAAGGGAATGTGTTCAGGGACTCCTGATTTTTGTCTGAAGAATAAATTTCACAATGCAGGAAATGTGTAACTCTTCATTTGACTGCAGTGTCTTTATTTTATTTTTATTTTTTATTATTTTATTAATTTAGGACAGGATGTACAGGGTGTGCGACCACTATGTAGATCGGACTCGTAGTGATTCTCCTGTGATCAGCCTCCCGAGCGCTGGGATTATAGGCAGGCACCACCACACCTAGTCTCAATCTCCGTCTCAGTGTGTCCCGGGGACGAGGCCAGCACAGCAAGCTGGGGCTCGAACCCCGGCCTCTGTGCTCTGCCTAAGCACGCGGTCTAGTCCACAGAGCTATCTGGCTGGCCATTGCAGTGTTTTAGATAGCCATGTTTCCTTTTCTCTGACAGTTGCCCAGTGAAAGCGTCTTTTTACACAACACACGATTGATTCTCCACTCACTTCTCTTCCTGTGCTTGCTGGGTCACCCTCAAGCACCATTTTTCTCCAATATATGGTTACATGAAGATGTATTGCTCCCCAAAAAGCCTTACATGCATCAATAATAACCTTTCCTTCACAAGTAGCTCAAGTATCCTTTCTTCCTTAAGACCAATCCATACTAATTGTTTCCTCCTTTGAACTCCTCTAAATCTCACTGTCTTTTTTATTATGTTTGCTCACAGAGGGAAGTGTGTTTTCTCCTAATGAGGTAAGAGTACTTTCTCCCACAGATTCTTTCTTTCACAGATGCATTCTGTGTGGAAAGCTAAATGGAAGCTCACAGTTACTCTGGAAGTGATTCAAGGAACTAAAGAAGTGAAACAAATTCATTTCTTACACATTTTTGGCACTTCCAGAGGGCAATTCAGCTGTGTCTAAGTAAGTTTTTCACATGTAAGAAATATCCTCTGAATCACACATAAACTGAAATAAACATTTGCGATAGTTTTATTTCTTTGACTTATTTGATTATTTTTGAGCCTTAAAAATATGAACTTGAAGGAAGTGGTAAGTATGAATAATCCAGGTAAAACAAGGAACAGGATAGAATGACCATATAAATTAATTTACCATTTAGTTTGATAGTTTATTGTTAGGGAGCTAGAGCCCAGTGTATATTAACTCCACTGCTTTATCTGAGAGTGAAACTCAACCAGCCATGTCCCAATCAGTTTTGTGATATGAACTCACCATAAACATTTTTATGAACAAGGAAAATAATGACTTTATGCTCAAAATGAAATGGATTTAGATAAAATGCATTTATATGAAAAACCAAGAAAACCATTGCTATTCTGATAATACCAAGTTGAACACAGATGATTTATAGCACTTTCTTTCTCTTTCTTTCTTTCTTTCTTTCTTTCTTTCTTTCTTTCTTTCTTTCTTTCTTACAGGCAATCCTATGTACTTTTATTTTTTTCCTATAATTTTATTGAGAAACAAATAGCAATGAGACAGTTTCAAATAAAATTGGTAGGACAGTTTCAATAATTAACACATTGCATACATTCCTCCCAGTGGTTAATTGCTGTACAAGATGCGGACATGATATTCTATTTACAAACACCATTAGAACAAATCCCTCTATTCATTAAGAGAATGTAACTATATATCTATCCTAACCATTTTGAATACACAGATACAAAATGGACATTCATCTGTATCCCCTTTTTTGTTAAGTTTCATTATTTTAATATTACAGGTGTGTTAACTCAGAAAACTATTCTAAAAGAGTCCAGTAGTCCATAATAGTATTGGGTCTTCTGCTTCACTGGCAATGTCAGAAATTGTTGACCTGAGTCCCCTACAGCTCAACATAACAGCATGGCTTTACTTCTTATATTTTGTTTTTATACTTTTCTGCTGGATGGGTAAGACCAAGGTAAAGCAGGACCTATGCAACAAGAGTTGTAGCATTTGGGTCTGATAAGGTCAGTGAAATCCCCTCAGGATTTATCCTGAGATCCTGTACCTCAGATTGTAGAACCTCTGTCAGTGTCAGCCATGTGGATGAGTCATGGCCATTGCTTGGCCAATGCATAGCACTTTATTTCAAACAATGATGTATACTTCCTAATATTTCTCAATTCATCAAAATGCACCAAGGGTATTTAAAATAATGGTCCTTTAGCAGAAAATGGTAAAGTGATTAAATAAAAATGATATTTGTTAAAACAGTCATTACCAACAAAATCAAAAATAGATTAAAATTACTTTGTATTGCAAAGATTTAGTAATTTTGTCCATCCCACTTGACCTGGCACATCAGTGTCTTAGCTGAATTATTTTTCTAATTTTTTATATAAATATATTTCCATAATCCTTAAAATGAAATGTGAAAAGTTGACCATGTTCATTTTAGGTTTAAAGAACCTTCTAATGTAGAAAACTTTGTATCCACTGGGCAAACTTTGAGACAAAAACGTACACCCCCGCACGACGAGGCCGCGCGCACTGGTATCCGAAGGATGTCACACCGACAAGGAACCATCTGTTGTTCTCTTGGCACATCAGCGGGCCTCCGGAATCCCCCTAAGAGGGAACCACGAAGAAAGTTGTGGCCATGTGGTTTAGTTATTTAAGTATATAAGAGGATATTTGGCAAATTAATAAAAAATAAAAATATAAAATTACTGAAATAATAAAGTAAAAAAGCAGAAACGTGATTAAACTGCAAATTATCTGTGTATATATACATGAATATTCATTATTGCTCTAGATAATGAAAAACAACTCTTTGCTTCTCGGTAAGGAAACCAAACAATGTACGATGCTTAAGATGTATAATTTTAATGCAAATATTTTCATAATGCACTTTTTTTAGGAAGCACCTCCTCTTCTTAATTATGATATTTTAGTGGATACTAAAAAGTTATATTAAAGCACAATGAAAAAAATCAGGACCAAAATATAAACAAAGAAGATATACTACATATTTCATGAAAATCTGGGTAGAAAAATTGCTCCATAGTTTGATTTTAGAAAAAGTATAAACTCATAAAAGGTGTTCATTATGGCTTTTTATCCTCTTGGGTAGAACGAGCTTTCTGGGATTTTATAACTATGATCAGATTTGAAAACTAATATTTCAACCAAAGTAGGCAAAACTTGGGTATAATTTGTGCTGATAAGAACATGTTTTCATCAGAGGTTTCAACTAATGGAGAAACGTTTTAAATTTTTCTAAACATTAATTAAAGTTCATCCTATTGAAGTTAGTTACATAAATTATGAGTGTACATAATAATTTCTATATGATAAAAATGAATACAGATAAGAGTCATTAATTATGCATTGAAAAATATCTCTTAAATATTATGTGATCATTTAAAAATATTTTTGAAAGAATTTAAAGCCTATGCTTTGTTTGAAATCACTCCTGTAACAAAATATTTCTCTCTCTCTCTCTCTCTCTCTCTCTCTCTCTCTCTCTCTCTCTCTCTCTCTCTCTTTTGGCAGAACTGGGGATTGAACTCAGGCCCTTGCGCTTGCCAGGGAAGCGCTTATTCCACTGAGCCATTTCCTTGGGCCTAACAAAATATTTCAATCTTAGATTTTTAATAGAAAATATACTCAGAAGTATTGTTTCATTTTGTTTTGTTTTGTTTTGGCTATCTCGGGCTGCCTTAAGAGCAGGTCTGGTACACCAGGTGCAGCTGAGGATCGAACCATGGCCCCCGCGCCTGACTGGGTTTGCCCAAGCAAGTGCTTTAAACAACTGAGCTACCCCACAAGACCCCCAGAAAATATACTCAGTGATTTTTGCTTGACTATCATCTTTTGGCCCTATATTACATTCAAAGGATAAAAATGTAAGTTATCAAAAAACTTTAGTTTTTCTCTTGGGTGTAGGGGAACCTAACTTGCATTGCTAACTCCATATTACCTATATTCTAGACGTAACAAATGACTACAAGTTCTTTGAATCCAGGGGCTGTAATGTTAGGTTTTGCATATTAAGGCCTTAAGTCAGTAAATGAGTTCTGAAATATTTATGCACCAGGATATATCTAAGACTCAATATATATTATGAATGGCTCATAAATTATTAAAAAGATATTTCTACTGCTTGAGTATTTTTCAAAAGGGGGTCACTTGATTCTCTCATGTTTAATAAAATAATTTAATTTTAATGGATAGGAATGATTCAGAGATTAGTTATATGGATAAAGATTTTAACTATATTGGCTCAATTACAGTTTCTCGTTCATAAAGCAGCAGGCCTGTTGCCTTTCTGTCTCTCTGGCTGGGAGACCTAGTCTGTCATTTCCCATCTAACCATGTCATTTCAATTTGAGTATGCAACTTCTCAAGTTTCATATATTTTAGTGATATATGTTTCACTACCTCAAGAATATTTAAGTGCTGCAAAAATAAAATGAATGTCCAGAAAATGATAAATTAACTTTAAAAAGTTATCTCCAAATGGATGTTATATTTGTAAAAGAAAAATCATCACCTTCTTTGAGATTGAGTATGAGGGTTGGTGACCAGTTTTGTTTAGAACCGTGGTTCTCAAACTTCACTGTGTGTCAGAATCTCCTGAAAGGGAAGTGATGCAAACAGTGTGAAGCCCTGACTTGGGAGCTTCTGACATAGTAGGTGTGTGATGGAACCAGGACTTTTTGTGCTCCTGCTATGCACTGAGATGCTACTGTCTACCGCACTGGAGATCATGACTTGAAAGCCATCATGTAGCATATGATTCTACCTCCCGAAGTAGAGTATTGTTCCCTTAGCTTTACATTTTAATCTTCCCTGATGCTGCTAGAAAATTGGCTCAAGTGTTCAAGCCTTTCTGAAGCAAGAAGATCTTCAGAGTCTTGTAAATGCTTAGTAAGTCAAAATTTTGAGCTTAAAAAAAAATGCCTTAAAGAAGGTACCCAAGCTGGATGTGATGGTGCTCCTGTAAACCCAACACTCTACCAGACTGAGGCAGGAGGATGACAAGTTAATCAACAAGACTTGAAAATATTTTTTAATAAAGCAGGTGATAATATCCAGTAATAAGGGGGGCGGGGAGATGGCTCAGTGGAATAAGTGCTTCCCTGGCAAGTGCAAGGGCCTGAGTTCAATCCCCAGTTCCATCAAAAAAAAAAAAAAAAAAAAAAAAAATCCAGTAATAAAACAAAACGAAATTCGTATTTTCAAATAATGTATTCTTACTTAATTAGTTAATCTCATTATAAACATAGTACTAAAGTTGAACTGAAAGAATCGTGTGGCAACTTAGAGTACTGGTTAATCAATTATGATAACATTCTACTGCGTAAAGTAGTTCCTTGTGTAAAAGGTTGCTTACTTGCTAATGATTAGCATGCCTAGACTGCAGAAATCAGAGCCAACTATATGATTTCAGATATCTGGCATGAGTTACTAGATTAATGTAACCCTAACATCAATGGCACTGGCCACCATAATTTTTGCTTTGTGCATGAAATGTCTGTCACATGATCTCCATTAACTATAACTGAAGTTATGCAGCTGATTTCCGTTCTGCACAATGTTTCCATAAATTTCCTAAGTGCTAATATTATCTTACCTCAAGCACACTTCTCATTTTAAAAGGAAAATATCAGATCTGGTGGTAATTTTTAAATAAGAAGAAAGCTATCTAGTTTGTTTTGAATATGCAAGAATTCATCAACAAAGAATGAAGGCAAAATTGAACAAAAAAGCTTAACATTATTTTAAAAATTTAGCTAAAGGATTCATGTTTGGATTTATCTGTTCAAAATATCTTGCAAAATTACTATACATATTAGCGTATGAAACAAGTTGTTCCACTTTAATACAGTGAAACCATGTCCCCCATGATATAAATAGCTACTCCCACATGTATAAATTATTTGATCTGTCATGCCATCAAGTTTAATCTAATCCAGTAGATGATGCATTAATTTTCATTAGTTTTGAAATACAGAAAACAAGTATGAAATAAATTTTCAGACTTAGTAACTCTCATGTAAAAAATGATAATACTATTGAGTATTTACTTGGTGCCTCACACATGTTATCTGACTTACCCTTCTCAAGAAATTCAAAGTGACTTGTACAGTTTCACCAATAAATCTTAAAGCCAGGGCAAGTAGGAGTACCCTGGGCATAGAGCACATGCCCTTAAGAAGAACCCTAGGCTGCACCTGAACTTTGGAATCTCAAGATTAGCTTAACTACTTATTTTTTGAAGGTATGTGGAGTTCATGGAGTTTATAGATAGTTGCATTTTTTCTAGCTGGTGACACCTAGAGATCGTTATTTCTAGTTGGTAATGTGTATGCAAGAGTTTCACTCTGATGGTTACATAGATCAAAGGATATTCACACTTCCAATTTACCACAATACTGACACTCTTACATCAGCAAGTTAGTTATTACACTCCTATAATAAAATGTAAAAAGTGATAATAATTTTTTTAGTAAAGACTTCTAGGCCCTGGAGATATGCCATACTGTTCAGTTCTTTATTTGCTTTCCATTTAACTAGTTGTAAACTGGCTCTAACTAAGTATTCAGACTGCTTTTCATCTACACATGATTTCGGGTCACTGGATACCTGACCAATACTCTAGACTCAAAGTTGGAAACTAGCAGCTCACTGAGCAATTTGGCCCTAAGGCTCATTTTGCTTGTTTTCAATGTTGTAAAACGCATATGATAATTGGAAATTTAAAATTAAATGTATTTAGCTAAGATATAGGTTGTTTGGCTCCATCTGGGCCTATTAACCTTCATTTTATATCTCTGTCTTACTTATTCAAATATTACACCTAGTCTCTCAAGACATTTGGTTTGTAATGCTCACGTGTAAAAGTAGTTTTGTTTTTAGTTCTCAGGCCCTCTGAGGACTAGTATGCAAACAGATACAAAGGCCACAGTTCCTAAGAGAAGAGCGAAGGTAAGGAACCTGAGCAATTGTTTTATACACAAATTTTTGTTAAATAATGATATCAATATATAGCAGTGCTTTCTAAAAGTAGAAGATGAACACTCAGACACACTTACCTGACAAGTATCTATTCCTCCTTCTTCGTAGCCGGCACATATCATATTTTGGGTAATGTTATACTCTGGCATCTGTTGCTGGCACTTCTCATTTGAAAGAAGAGGAACATCAGCTTCTTGTAGGATGTCTGCAGTAGGACCTGCTCAAAATGGATAGTGCCGCCAGCTAGTCAGAAGTGATCCAGTTGCATTTTTGAATGAAACACCATCAGTCTTATTTATTCCAACATTTCACTCTCATTATGGAGTACATTGTGTCTATACAATGGAACTAACTACGAGTGTTACATGTTAAATGGCATAATAAAAATCCATCTGTGGATTTTAGCGAGTGGATGACAGCGATGCTCTTCTTTCTTTCCCAAGGGCTAGTAGAGATGGTGGATTGAGGTAAGGTGATCTTCAGCTATTTTCAGTAATTTTAAAGTTATAATATTGCTCATGGATATAAAGCCTGCCAACACAAAGAGTTCTATTCATAGAAATTAACACCAACTCAGAAACCCAGAAGTGCTTTCATTCAGCACCTGAAGAGGCGCTCCCTCCAGTATAATGGCAGTTAGCGCCTTTGTGGAGCTTTGTGAGTGAGCAGGTGTTCACCACACAGGGGACAAAGCTCTGCCGAACTGTGCCCTGGTCTAGGGACAATCAGCTTGTCATTCACACGCAGGTGAAGAGAGAGAAGGAGTTTTAAGAGTATATTTCCATTCTTTTTTTATGCAGAACTCATTCTCTAGAAGTATGAATCTCTGTTTATAAAAGGACTAATTCCAGAAGGGATGAGCAATAAGCAGATGTTGGTGTCCCTGAAAAGGTGCACAATAACCACTTTGTAATAATTAGCAACTTTATTTGGTTGCTCAAGCTAAGCAAAACGTTTGTGTTAAGTTAGTAAGTATACTTGACAACTGGTAATGTAAAGATATATGTGATCTCATTTTTCCATTTAGTTTAATATCTACACTAAAAATACTAAGACAACAAATATGTGTGTGTGTGTGTGTGTGTGTGTGTGTGTGTGTTTGAGAGACAGGGAAAAAAGACAGAGAGAGGGAAAGGGAAATGGGAGAGAGAGAGAGAGAGAGAGCATATACATGACTCAATGATTACTTCATGCCCAAATGTATATTTCTTTTTTTTTTTTGAGTGGAGTAGACACCATCTGTATGACTGATTTAATGGTACTAGCATGACAATGAAGACAGACTATACAAATGGCTACTGCCAACTGGTACTGGAGAAACCAATGTGACTTTCAAAGTTCAATGTACACTGTAAAAAAGTAAAGTGGAGATAGAAATGGATGAGAACATGCAGCACCACTCTTGGTCATCCTACCATGAAGGTTCAGGGTGGCCTGAGAAGCCTTAGTTTTGTAATAAAAAAACCAAAGCTATTTTTGCTCCTTGTTAGTGAATGAAAAAAGTGTTTGATATTAGTCAAGATCATGTTTGCCTCTTGTACTCTGAATAACTACTATGAAGACAATATGCAGTGTATCAATTATTATAACTGTTCTACTAACCTGTTTTGAAACTGTCTCATTGCTATTTCTTTTTTATTAAAATTAATAAAAAATTTAAGAAATGTGTTTGAGTAAATAATAAAACTGATTGGTAAAAGCAAATTTGAACAGTGTGCATATATTCAATATTTGTCAACATGGTTTGTTACTAGAATAACAAGAAGCACACACAATTACTCACGCCCATATGTACACACAGGTATAAATAAAAATTTTGGTAAAGTTGTCTTTAATGTACTAATTTTCCTAAACTTAGCAACTGGTATCACTTCATTTCTTCCTAGTGAACAATATGTTCCTCATGTTCTTAGTTAATTAATTAGTGTAATATGCTGTCAAGCTTGGAAATTTGAATTTTATGAAATGAGATAAGGTTATTAGATGAAAATTGGGGCCAGGGAGATAGCTCAGTAGCATAAATGCCTGCCTGGCAAGCGCAAGGTGCTGAGTTTGATCCCCGGTACAAAAGAAAAGGTGACTATTACAACACAGAGTTTATAAAAGTCATTAAATTTTCAATGACCCAAGAAATATTTAAAGATGAACTGGCTACCAGGCATGCTAATGCATGCCTCTAATCCCAGCACTTAAGAGGCTGAGGTAGGAGGATCACTGTGATTTCAAGGCCAGGCTGGGCTACAGAAGTGAGTTCAAGACCAGCCTGCACTACACAGTGAAACTCTGCATCCCCCTCAAGCCCTCAGAAAAGAAGATGAGCAGGCCATTTATTGGTAAATGAAATTGATCTTTTTACTGGCTCCATACTACTTTTACAGACTTTCTTAAGTTAATTAAACAAATATTTTAGTACCAATAAATTCATATAACCCAAGTTTATAGCTCAATTTTTCCTATGTAATGAAGTCTTAAATATTGTTATTGTATAATTTGTTTTTGAAGAGTCTATATTGTGTTCATAAAATATTTTTTAAAGTCAGAAAAAATAAAACCTATCTAGTTGAAAATCATTTTTGTTCCTTAAATGTCAAGTTCAATAAGTCATGACATTCTTCAAGTGGGAGAAATATAAGAATTTATGATCTTAAAAAAAAGAATTTATGGTCTTTAGTATTCTTGATCATAAGCAGACAAGAGGCATTTTCAGTTGCATATAATGCAATTGCAGTGGAAAACTTTTGTCAGAATCCTCAGGAAAGCACCACACTTAGAACTTTGCTCCTTCTCTGACAAAAAATAAGGATATTTTTGATGTGATTTAATTATGGGACTCTGTACCTTTCTACAAGACTTCATGCAGTTTCATCTTACACATAACTAGAATTTTTAAACATCACACCTATAATTTATTTTGACTTACAGAGGTCAGATCCTCTTACTAGACTAAGTGTCTTTCCTTTGTCTAATGTTGTGGAGTGGTCAGAACTTGTAGGTGGTGAACTGTATTAGGAATTCTGTAATTAGGAATTCTGCTTGCAATTACACTTCCAGGACATGAAGAGCTGGAATGCTTTCTTAGAATTCATGTTTGAAGATATTCTTGTTAATCACCAAGACTGAAAAGCTGCATAGATAGATAGATTGAGAGACAGATATACATATATCTGTACAATACAGTTATAAGTTGTTTAACTTCATTTTAATTTTTCACTGATACATAAAAACATGCAAGTTTCCAGAAGACAGAGGCAAGAGAATTGGAAATTCTAACCTAACATGGTTATTGATTGACTTCACAAGACCCTGACTCAAAAAATGAAATCTAAATGAAGAGTAGGGAAGTAGCTTAGTATGAAGTCTCTGGTTTTAATCATTTGTACCACACAAAAAAATAAAAATGTACACTTTCGTGGAGTACTGTTCTGTTTTCATACATGTATACTCTATATAATATATAAACCAGGTTATATATATCCAGTTCCTCAGCTATTTGTCTTTTTCTTTTCCTGATAAACACTTGCAAATATTTTCTTTTAACATTTGGATACGCACAATATGTCAGTGTTGTCAGCAGTCAACCTGCTGTACAGTACCACACTAGAACTTCTTGCTTTCATTTAGTTTTAGCTTAGCGCCGTCCCCATCAAGCAACTTTTAGATTCCATATATGAGTGAGATCATGCAAACTTTGTCTCTCTGTGCCTGGCTTATTCCACTTAATGTGATGCTCTCCACTTCCATCTATGTTGTCACAAAGGTCAGATTTTTATTCTTTTCCTAATAACTGAATGTGAACCATACTTTCTTCATTCAGCTGATGAACACGTAGGCTTTTTTCCTCCATCTATCTTTCCTCCAAAAGGCTGTTGTTAAGAGCACTGCAACGAGCATGGAAGTAGAATTGTATCCTTGACATGCTGGCATCATTTCCTTCAGACATAGTTAAGCATCAGGTGAAATTGGTGCCCCATAGTCATTATGTTTATGTTTAGAAAACATGTCATTAAATAATATCAGAGGATCAATGATCTATCAATGTATAGTCTGCATGATATATCTTAATCATTTTGCCAATAGGCAGGTTCAGCATGTAGAAGTTACAAGGGAGTTTCTTTTTTATTGCAGGTAACTTGAATATGTAGTCTTACATCATAAATGAAGATAAATTTGTTGAATAGAAAAGTGGGACAGATAGTAATGGATTTATTTTTACTAGAGTTTGTCCATATGCTTTACCAAAATAAATTCTTAGAACTTTGCATTATATTCACTTCATTAAGTGTATCTTTTCTATTTATCAGTGTTTATAATATAAAGATTTAAATAGTGAGTCTGAGAACTATCTGAATTCTTTTTTTAAAGAATCATGGTTTTAGAATATAATATAGAATAACACACCTGGAAATCTTTTTTAAGCTAATGAATTATAAAGTATGTCCTGAGATGATTTTTGTAAATATTTCAAAATTCATTGCAGTATAAGAATTGGAAAAAAAATAAATATAATAATAATAATGATAATAATAATAATAATAATAAAAAGGGGGGCTGGGGAGATGGTTCAGTGGAATAAGCGCTTCCCTGGCAAGCGCAAGGGTCTGAGTTCAATTCCCGGTTCCGCAGGAAAAAAAAAAAACAAACAAACAATTGGAAAAAATGTTGAAAAATAGTAACAGGATTGTTCAATAACGTAATTCTCTTTAGAAGACATTTTTAAATCTAAATTTGATAATTTACCTCCATAATAAAGCCTTCCCCAGCCAGCAATAACACAATTCTTTCCTGGAAGAAAAACTTGATTTTCCTCTGGCAAACAAATAGGTTGTATATAATCTGAAAAGCAAACAAAGCAAAGAACAGAATAGTAACAGACAAATGTGTTTCTAAAAATTATAAAACCAATTTTATAATTCATAGAACCAATCACATCACCATTTATTTAACCTAAAAAACTTACATTTTGGCTTATCCTGCATGAATAACTGTTAGACAACAATATTAGGGGAAAGGATATTTTAAATAGTCTTTCTTTGTCAATTTATGATGTGTTACTGGTGGTCTTTTGTGTTCTCTACATAGTCTTCATTTTTGGAATATAAATAATGTCATATTTCTGAAATTAATATTTTTTAAAATAATGATAATGCCATAATGAACTAGTGACATTTCTACTATTTCTCAGAGTCAGTTAAGGGAAAGTTGGACAAACATTTTTATTATTATATGTAATTTTCTCTGTTTATATTCAAGTTGTAAAAGTTCTCAGTTAATTGCTTTTTCAGACACTATGAAAGTATTAATATTCATCACTGACTCCTAAAGGCTTCTGTATCAATTTACAAGCCACTGTGTATTTAGTAAGTACTCACTACCTATACAATTCAGGGCAGACACAAAAATTAAGAAGGTACAAACTTTACCATTCAGTACAAGGTTTTACAACTACATATAGTAACAGTTTTGTTTTCCTAAGTGATATGATACATTTGTGTAGCAAACTTCATGAACATAAAAACTGCAACACTTTTTCCTGAACATTGGAGAAGAGCTAATTTAAGGTTACAGCAGAGTAAAACCTGTTATAGTTTATAACTAAATGTTCCTCAAAGTACCTCATGTCTTCTTTGGTGGAGCTCTGGGAGGTGATTGGCTCATGGGGGACTCATACTGATCCGTGAATTAATCTACTGATGAAATTTTAGTTGATCCAAAGAGGTGTATCCTATGGGGCATGACCTGGAAGGATCCACTACCCTTCCAGGCCCATTCTTCTCTTTCCACTTCCTGCCCACTATGAGCTAAGCAGCTTTTCTCCACCATGCCCCTGTGTTGTTTCTTCTCTGGAGCCTGATGACCCTGCACTGCAACATAAGCTAAAATCCCCCCCCCCCAATTGTGTGTGTCTGGTAATTTATCTCAGTGACAAGAACATGATTGAGACTGATCCTTTAAGGATAAAGTTCCTTTTTTCAATTGATTTCTCATACATTTTCCAGGCACTTGGGGGAAGTTCTTCACTGGCTACTGTAGGAACATTACTGGCTGTCTTTCAAAGCTTTAATTATATGACTAGCATAAGATACCCTAGAAACACATACTTGCATCTCTATTTATCAATCTTTGTCTTAACCACCTCCTTTGTGGTGGATGGACCTACCCTTCAATTACAGGAGAAACAGAAAGCTTAATAATATGATGACTTATTTTTTCAGGCCTGCTCCATTAAGATTTTATTTTACCAGTTCACTGGTAAAATGTGCTGGTATGGAGGACTCAAACAATTTTTTTCTTCAGGTTTGGTGTTCAATCTTTTTTTAAAATTAATTTTATTGAGAAAGAAATAGAAATAAGAGAGTTTCAAAACAGGTTAGTATGACAGTTACAATAGATAATACATTGCATATTATTGTCTTCATAGTAGTTATTCATAGTGTATGACGCAGACATGATATCTTATCTAAACACTATTAGTTCAAAACTTTCTTCTCATTGAACTAAAAGAAAGTAGCTGTATGTCTAACTACTATATATAATGGTCCTTCATTTATATCCCCCTTTTTTGTTTACTTTTGTCATAGATGGATATTCTGTTGCCATTCAAATATTGTAGGTGTGTGAATGCAGCAAATTAATCCAATGTAGTCCAGTAGTCCATAATAGTAGTGGGTTATTCACAGGACTGGCAATGTCTGAAGTTGTTGACTTGAGCCTTTTACAGCTCAGCATATTAATATGGCTTTATTTTTATACCTCATTTTTATACTTTTCTGCTGGATGGTTAAGACCAAGATAAAGGAAGATCTATCTAACAAGAAATGTAACTTTTGTATCTGACAAGGTCAGTCAAATCCCCTCAAGATTTACTCTGAAACCCTGTACTGCAGTTTGTAGATCTTTTGTCAGTGTCAGCCATGTGGATGAGTCACAGCCATTGCTCAACCAATTTACTCTCTGTTTAATACTGAGAGAATATTTTCTCTCCATATGACTCTCCATAGGCACACTCTACATCGTCATCACTTTCCCCTGTGGCCCTATACTTCTTGATCAGAAAACTTGGGACACCACTGAGTTACAGGTTGTTACAATTCAGGTTCTCTTATGTCCTGATTCCTCATTGACCTTGAATGGCCACAATGTTGGCTGTTCTTGCAGCCCATCTTTTTCTCTAATTTTTGGTCTGCAAACTTAAGTTGTTAACCCTCCAGAATAGAAGCTTAATGATATTATTACCCTAAAACATAGGCTGTTGAGCTTAACATCAGTATCTGTCTGAATATCAAATGCCTTAGACATAACATGGAACAGTATTTTCCATCAATCATCGATATGCTAAACTTTAGATCCCTATGAAATGAGAAAAATATTTAAAAAATTAAAAATAGTAAAAAAAGAAGTAAATAATTACAATTTTTTGCAGAGAAATTTAGAAATCTAACCATGTACAACATTGTAGCAGGACAGTCCTATGACGTTTTTCTTGTCTCTTGTCAAATAGTTTAATTTTACCTGTCCTTTCTAGAAAGTTGGATTTAAAAATATTTTCTTAATTCCTCAAATCCAGTTCAGTTATAATGCAGCAAAAATCCAACATTTATATACTATTACTATAAAGTATATACAATTAATATTTCAAATCTTACGATGTATTAACTTGAGTAGATAAGAATAAGGAAAGTGGTTTTGTTTACCTGTGTAATTTACTTTAAATTCAAGATGCATCATGACAATGTCACTGTCCTTTGTCCGTTTATTGTAGTGAGGGTTTATGACAATTTGGTCTATCAGCCGAGTTTCTATATGAGGAGAACTCAGATCTGATCTTGCATGCAGGCCAAGGATTGCTGTCCACTTAGAAGGCTGTAAATTTCTTCTGAAGATGATAATAGGGAAGAGTGAGAAACTCTCTAGTAAAAAAAATTACCTTCCAGAAGGTATACAACATGAAATTTTGAGAATTATGAATTTATATTGTACAATGTCCTGTTACTTGTCTGAAAATTATTCTTTAAAAATAGTTACCTTATTATTTTAAATTAACACAAGAATTTCCAATATGGTGGGGGTATAATGTGATATTTTGAGATATACACATTGTCAAATGTTCAAATCAGGGTAAGCATATCTATTTCTTCAAATGTTTGTTATTTCTTGTAGTGAAAACATTTAAAATCTGTTTATCTAGCTTTCTGAAATATATGCTTAATTATTGTTATGTATAGTCACTTACTGTGCACAGAACATCAGAATTTTTATCTCCCCTCTAACCTAGTATTCATTGACCAAGATTTCTCCTAGGCTTCTTGCCCAGCTCATTGGAACCACAGCTGCAACTTACTGTCTTCTAGGTCAACTTGTGTAGATTTCACATATGCTTAATTTTTATGCTTTTTATTCTAGAAGTCACAATTAGCATGAATTCCTCTTTTTAATGTCTCTTAAATCATGTCCTGGTCTCTTATTTCTATTCTGGTTCTCCACTCTGCCTGTATCATCAGAAGTAATTTTAAATAATGAAGCTACCTCCTTTTCTCTCCCAATTCTTCATTTAAAAAGTGTGTAATGAACCAACAGACACTTTCATAAGATTTTAAGTGAAAATTTCACATTTAATGTAGTATACAGCTAGTTTAATAACCTCTGCATTGGATCCCATTCCGCTGTGAAACTCACAACTCAGTCCAGTTCTGCTTTAGACAATGGTAGCAAGTGATGTAATAATGGAGTAGGGTGCAGAGCTTTCTGCCATTTAAGAATCACTAAATTTTCACTGAGTTAAGGTTACCACTGCAATCTTTCATGATTTCCATATACAAAGTTCCCCTCAACAATATATGGTAGAGGATGATATTGTGTTATAAAATAGACAAAGTAGGTAATATGATTTGAAAGTGGGCAAGAACTCCTAGATAAACTACTGGCTCGTAATATCTTCATGCCAAGATGTCACGAATGCTGAGTTGGAATTATGCCCATTAAGCAATATTCACAATGAAATCAAAGTCAGTAACTGTAATTATTGGCAAAAGTATTGATCCTATACTTAGCAATTGCAGATGTCTGGTTTAATGCAGGTTAAAATCCAAGTTATCTACAAATGTATCAATGGCAGGAGGTTATTTTACATTTGTCTATCTTTTAGTCTATCTGGTCGCAACATTGTTTGACTTCTTAATTCACCATGTTTCATCTGGCAGTAGTTAATTAGTAAAGGTTATCAGGACTCAGGCAGAAGAGGGTGTCTGCTCTCAGTGGTTTCTGGCAGCCCCTTAAGTGGTTCAGATGCTGGGCAAGGATTCAGACACTTGGCATTTCTCACTTTCTCTGTACCTTGGAATTCCATTGTCTATCCAGACCTACTTTGGGTAGGGTAAAGTCCCATCTTATGTCTTGTCTCTGAACTTCTTTCTCTGCATATCATTTGCTAATTATATTTGCTAAAGCTCAAATGGTCATAGATTCATTTGATTGGCATGACAGGTATCAGGTCACTACATTAAGAATTTTGCTGCATGTGGAGGCTCATGCCTACAATCGCAGCACTTGGGAGGCTAAGGCAGGAGGATTGTTGTAAGTTTGAGACCATCCCGGGCTACAAAGTGAGCTCAAGGCCAGCTGAGCTGCATGGTGAGAACCTGCCTCATAAAGACCGAAAGGGAAAGAGAGAAAGAAAGAGAGAAAAAGAGAGAAAGAGAGAAAGAAAGAAAGAAAGAAAGAATTGTGTATTTTCTACTTGCTTAATCCATGTATTCACTGAATAGTAACAATAAATTACTCTTATAATTACCATATCACATGTTTATTACTTCATTATACTTATATTTCATACTATATTTATGTAGCTAATATATTACACTAAGATGGTACATTAATAATATAAATGTACAGTCTATGTAAATAATATTGATTACATTAAAATAAATATAATGTAATATTTTCTTATACTATATGAGATAATTACATATGAGATTTTAAGTTTAAAAGGTTATATGCTACTTTTTAAATAAGATTTTTCTTAAGTGTTTTATATATAGTTGTCTTTAAGAAATGTCATATAAAAGTTCAGACAGGCATATTCAGTTTATTTGTTGTAAAATTAAGTCACTATTTAACTAAGGGAATTTAAAAAAGAAGAACTAAGTACCCAAATTATTATTTCTTTTGTAAGTACTATACTCCACCTGAGAACTGATAATAAATTACTCATTTGAGAGAGCTTGTAGGTAACACTAATTTTAATCATTACCATTTCCTCTCATTTTAAAGTCTCGAGTATGTAACCAATGAATGAACAATGATCTGTAAAGATTAAATATACTTGCTTCAAGCTATTGCTCTAATTAAATTCAATTTACCCGTAGGTTAATCTAATACAGTTTTGATGGTTTCTAAAATTGTTACCGAGTTGCATGGAAAATAACCTCTTTTTCATGTTTTAGTACTTCAACATCTGTAAGTAGCACCAGTACCTCAAATCCACTGCAAGGTGTATCATTCACACTTCTCTCAGCTCTTGCTCAAAAACCTCCCTGTGTGTGTAAACTTCTTTTACCGGTCAGCAGCTCAGGTCCATGTGCTGCTCACATCCTGTGGCAAATTCTAGCATTTTCTTGACAGAAAATGATGTGAGAAAATGGAATATTTAGCTACCTCTTCAGTTTTACCAATCACTTGAGAAATTTTCCAACACTTGAATTCTTACTTTTGCACCTCAGGAGATTATAATGGAAGGGTATAGTGCCTTGTAAAAATTGGTGCTGAATACTAACAGCCTTTAGCCTTTTTATTTACCCAACACAAAGGTTGACAGAAAAAAAGATATTCAGATATTAGACGGACAGAAGGGACTTTTCATAGTTTTCTTATCTGAAAGTATCTACATTCAGGTAAGTGAGGTGCGCTTGCGAAAGAGAGCTACGCTTACTAGATGGGCAAGTCCCAGTCCAGCCAAGTCTAAAAATGGCAGAAATAGGCATCTTTAGGATGGGAGGTGGCTGAATTTCTGCCATTACTCACCTCACCACTATCTGTTCCATGCAAACAATATGTGTTTTCTAATAGTGAGATAGAAATGCAGACTGGGAAGCTTCAGAAAGCCATGTACTCTTGACATCTGTACCCTCAAATGAAAGCACATGTGCAGGCACAGAAATGCTGCATGAGATGGAATGAACCAGTGCTTTCCCCAAAATGCACTGCTGTGTGCTAAAGCATAAATAGTCTCACTACCTGGTGTGGTGCATCAGTGCTTTAGAAAGTGACTGCAGATAGGTACCTGTGATAGTGCAACACAAATAATAAAAGAAAATAAATGGGAGGCCATAGCTGTAAATGAATTCATTTTTCTTTTGCCCTGAAACTGAAACTGCTCCAGAGCAGTTTCAGCTGTGTGTCCATGGTCAACTATAATGTTTTATCTCACTCAATGTTGAATTCTATTATTACTATCTACATAGAACCAGAACTCCTTGAAGAATAAGAAAATAGTGAATTCTAAGTTTAAGGCAGAGTAAAAAAAAAATCAATAGTTACACTTAATTTCTCTTAGTTCATTGAAAAGAAAGGTTTGTGCTGATATTGTTGGACAACTCCATACCTCTATCTTGTACTTTGATTAACTAAAAATAACAATACGCAATGAATTAACTGTTGTTACCCTCCTATTATCTTGTTTTCAAATTTTGCTTTTTTCCCTTTGGAATTAAAAAAATAGAATGTTTCTGAAAAGGTACCAGGAGATAAAGAATGTTTTTAAGACAAGAAGCATTTCAGAAAGAAAAATGATATCAGAATATATAAGATAACATGAGCTATTCAAACATCGTATGATAATAAACAAATTTACTCTGATTAACAAATAAGTTGTGTATGAAAGGTTAGGAATTCACAATTAAATGATAAAACAAACATTAGATCAAAGACAGACAGTTGTACTGTGAAAAGGGAGTGGGTAGCTAACATATGATCAATCTTCATTCTTTTTTGTGGATAAGGAACAAAGTTTTGTGATGTGAGTTTTTAAAATATCATCTGCCAAATTGTGAACTGTTATTAAAATAGAAGTATTTACTTGACTAAGTATGTGAAAGACTAGTGTGCACAGGGAACTAAGAGCAAGCCAAATAATCCTCAACATTGTTTGACTGTTATTCACAGAAAGTTGAGGAATCATCTCTGAACACCTTTTATTACTTGATTTCTAAGATTATTCCACAATTCCATGGACTTGTGATTTTCCTTTCAATTCACTCTTCGTTTATGAACAATACACTGAAAATTTGCAAATTTATATTTTAATTATTGCTCCCTTAAAATATTAAAATGACTTGCAGATTGAATAATATCAATGATAGAGACCAAATTTAATCTATAAAATCAGAGGTTTAATTCTCACTATCCTATTTCTTCCCATTTCCCAATATTAATCCCTGAAAAAATATCATTCTCACCTTGCTTTTTTCTCTATTTTCCTTCTCTATCTTTTCTATTTTATAATTCTTCTCCAGTCTTTACTTTTCATCTGAGTTCACTAGAAAATTCAGACTACTTGATCCACCATAGTTACTAATTCCATTGAGCTGTTTGTCATCATTTGTAGTCATGATCCTGGGGCCACCACTTTCTCTTTCTGACTGGTTTCTCTCTGGAGACTCTCAAAATCCTCATCTCCACAGGGAAGCCTGATCAAATAATGTCGTTCTTCATTCTCTAAGTGGTCTTTTATCCACTTGCTGTGCTCTATGAGTCCTCACTCAGTTCTTTCTCCACCTTGGATCTTGTGCTTGTCACTGTCCATCACTTCATGGGCAGTGGTAGCAGGATTCCTTCCAGTGTCTTGGAGACTTCTTCACCAGCCCAGAGCATTGAGTCCCC